CCGCCCCAGCGGGCCGGGGGCTGTGGGCCTGGGCAGCCCGGTGCCCCGTACGGGAGTACCGGGGGCTGTCCTGCACGGCAGTGCCCAGCCCTGGGGCCTGCCGTGTGCGGCCTTGGCAGTGGTTTTTGGACTGTAATAAAGGCAGTGGGATTCTGGACTCTAAATAAAGGCTGAGGAGGAGGCAGGATGTGGCCTGGCTCCTGCTGGAGGCTGGGGAAGGCCGGGTAGCACAGCAGTAGTGACCTACTGGGAGTAGCAACAGCGAGCTCCTACGTTTTGTTTTTTAAACCCCTGGCACCACGGGAGTTTGGGGTTGTTGCCTGTGTGTGGTATTAATTTTGGAAATACTACCGGAGGTGGAATCCATTTACCTCTCCCCGCAGGGCGTTGGTGGTGCGAAAGTCTCTTCCACCACTCCGTGGTTGGGAACGCACTCAGGAAGTCCTTCGGGATGGGCAAGGTCAGGATAATAAAGGGGGGGGGTTCGTGTTAGAAATTCAGTGCACACATTCTCATTTTTCAATGAAAGCTTCAGCCTGACACCCGGAAGAGCTGAAATGGTTCTGTCTCCTTTTGCTTTCAAACTTCAGTGGCACGGTTTCGATACTTCTGAATTAGACGTTTTTGGCTTTAACGCTGGAAATAGCCGTCTTTCTGGGCTACTTGCAGTTTCTGTAGCTTGGGGGAACGTTTTCTTTTGTAACTTCTGTAGTCCTTGAGTTTCATGGAGACTTTTTCCTTTCTTCAGCCTTACAAAACTTTGCTGGGTACAGAAACTTGTTCTGCGGCAAATTACTTCCTCTGTTCTTTGCGTGTCGTCTCGTGTGTAGTTATGTGTTCAGTTTCCTCATGCTCTATAAATACCAAGTCTGGCAGCCTTGGCAAAATCTGTTTGGAGAAAAGTTGGATCAGAGTATTTTTCTGAAAATAGCATCTCCTTGAAACTTGGCCTTGCCTAATCCATCACTAATTTCTCCTCTCTCGCCCCAGATTTGGAAAACAAGGTGCAAAGTTGGCTGCGAGTTGGTGAGGAGAAGCTGGAGGACTCTGCTGGCATTCCTCATGCTGCCCCTTGCCAGAAACGTTTATTATTCCGTAAGAAGGCCAGCTTCTTAGCCCGGCTTGGTTGCACCATTCTGCTTTACAATGCCATTATTTTACCATAGTATGACGCAAACTTAAATAAGAGCTCCAAGAGTATGTCGTCAGGCTTGGAACGTGCAGTTTGGAAAGTGGAGTTGGGAACGTCCCTAGAGCAGCAGTGCCAGGCGCTGGGCTGTCCCGGGGTGTGCTGAGGGCAGGGGCATGGTCCTGAGGAGGTCCTTGGGTGTCAGTGCCGGGGAGCATCTGGAGCTCCATCAGTCCCTCCTGGGAGGGCTGTGGGACCACCGGTCATTGGAGAAACTAAGAGCACGAAAGAGCTTCCCCTCCTTTGAGATGCACCTTCTGTATCCTCACTGGAGCTGAGGCTGCACCACCAGGAAACAGAGACGTCTGGGAGGGAAATATGAAGCATGTTTTCAGGATGCCTATCTGCCCTCTTGAATATTCAGTATAGTAACAGCTAATTACTGTCTTAAAAGAACTCTAAATCCGGGCTCTGTGCGTAGCCGGACCACGTTGTGCGTTCTGCGGCGGCGTGACTCGCTCTGCAACGCCCTTTGTTGCCATCCCCTTCGGACGCGTGGGTGTGACTGACCTGTGGCAAAACTAATAGGTGCGCAGTTCCTAGCACTCGAGGGTGGATTTTTGCCGTGCTTTGCTTTCAGCCTGGCCCCAGGCCCGGGCTCCGTTGGTGTGTGTTTGGCAAACAGCCTTACTCACACTGACCTGTCTCCCAGCATCTGCCTGCAAGCGGAGAGGGGGAGCTGAGCTGGCAGTTACCTGCCTGTGGCAGAAGGTGAATCCTGATGGCGTCTCATCACAGCACGTGTCTTTTGGAGCAGTTGTAGCAGGATGTACCTTCAGGAGATCTTGGCATTAGTCTTGGAAGTTTCAGTCCCTGTCCTGCAGTTTGCCATCACCTTGTTTTGCGGGGCTGTGTAGTAAACCATGTCGCCGAAATATAACTCTTCAGAGTGTCGTCTGTGGTGCAGACCCAGGAAAGCACAGGTTGGCACAACTGACACATTGCACAGGGGGAGCAAATCCTATCAGGCTGAGCAGGGGAGTGTCGGCGCCGGTGTTGTCTGTGTTACTGAACCATGACCTCATGCTCCGGGATGTTGCTGCATGGCTCAGCTGATCTACGCCAGGCCTGGTGTCAGTCCAAGGGTTGTTTTTTTTCCCCCCTCTGATAATTTGAATGTTATGTCCAAACATTTCCCATCTGGCAAGGGATACATTTTTAAGCACTGGTAAGGTTGTTGACTTAATGAGAACTAGAGTGGGGAAGAAATCCAAAAGAACAAGAAGCACCAGGTCTGCAGGCTGCAGAAGATCATAGGTGAAAGGGCTGGCTGATGACAGCCACCGGTAATGATGACTGCCACAGCCATCTTCGTTCACCTGCCCTCCTTGGAGGGTGCACTCTCGGTTCGCTTAGATTCCCCTCTGAGAAAGAAAATGTGATAGAGCTGATGGAGGAAATCCTTGGGACCAGGGAGGGGCTTGTTGCATCGAGAAACACGTAAAACGTGGGCAGACCAGTGCTCGCGGACTTGGGCGGCCGGCTGAGTGAAGCCGTTCCCTTAGAAATGGCGTTAGGTGGGTGGATCAGTGGTGTTGTACGGGTTGGTGCCGTCAGCCTCCGCACCCTTGCGTACTGAAGCCTGCCAGACCCTGCCGTCCCCGGCTCCCACATAAGCGTTTGCTGGCTGGACCCCGGCGGGAGCGGGTACTCCCTCTTGGCAGGGCATCTCCATGGCACGGGCAGCTGCCAGGAGCAGCGTCTGGAATCGCCCCCCGTTGTAACGTCTGTCGTAACCTGCTCTTTGACTGCTGGCCTGTGGAAGTGAGAAGACGCAGGGTCCTGTGTGCTTTTCTTGGCGTTTAGCTGCTCCGGCCGGGCACGGTGGTGACTGTGCTGTCTCCTGTTCCATCTGGCCGCTGCAATCAGTTGAATTCCACTGTTGAGCTGCTTTACAGAAGCGTGTGAGCCCCAAGTCTCCTCACCTCAGTTTGGTGGCACAGCAGTCCTCCTGAACCACTGCACCTCTATCCCAAGCGGGTTTGAGACCATCAGGTTGCTAGCCACCTCATTTGGCTTTATCCGGGGGGGGGGGGGGGAGATACTTCCCATTTCAAGTCCCAGCTTTGGAAATCACCAGGAAATCCTCACCTTCTCCGCTGGTGGGAGGAGGTGGATGAGATTTTAGATGTCTGTTGAGGCACACGTGTTGTTTGTGGCACTCAGCTTGATGAGGGCAGCGTTGGAGAACAGTGCCTGTAATGATTTATTGGCAAAGCCTACTCTGTTATCTACACACTTCTGAGGGCAGAGTAACCAGAGCAGACCAATAGTAGTGATCGTTCCCTCGAACAGCAATGAGCTTTTGGCAAAAATAGTTTGGATTAAATATTAATTGCAAACGGTTGTTCGGCAACGGTCCTTCTTGTTTATAGACTGTGGCGTTCTCACACTTCTAGCTGCGCTCCGGGTAGTGTCAGACAGCACAGTATGTTGGAAAGTTGACGTTAATCAAAGCAGATATCAAATGATTTGCCCACCCGTATTGACAGTTTGATTTCAGAAGTTTGTTTGGTGCTTGCACGTCGGAACGTGGAGAGATGCAACAATGAAATTCATTCATGCCTGAGTGTGGGCTTGTGTATTTGTGGATGTTGATCGGAGGATCCACACACCCCTTCTCCTGTCCAGCAGTGCTTCTCTCACATGATACGTGTTCGTTGCCTCGTGGCTTATTGTCATGTCATTTATTCAACAGGTTGTGCTGTCTTGGTCTTCTTAGAGTGAATTAACCATTTCTGGAAAGCCACCAGGCAGGATCAGAATGTGGGGAGACCATCGACAGAGCAACAGAATGGGGTCTTTTCGGTAAGCATTTGAATGTATGGTTTGTTTCAACAACATTCTTAAATACAGAATCTGCTTGTCAGTATTTCTGCACATCCCCCCCTCAGCAGGCTATTTTGGTAAAAGCTCTGAGGTCCGTGGGGAGCTAGGTGCGATTGCCAAAAGCTGCAAGTGAAGAGACAGGGTGACTTTCTGCACTTCTGTGAAGTTTTGTTCGTGTCTTTTTTTCTTTTTTTTTTTTTAAACAGTGTTTTAGTATTTCTGTTCCTTCTCCCCACCGCCTTTCCTAGCGATACTCAGCTGTTGTAAACTAAGGCGATGATATGCCATATGGGTTTTGGTGCTGTGCGCTGACAAGAGCTACAAGAGAAGTGCCTAATAGGGTGATGTTAAGTCTCTTCAACCACGGTCCTTGCCTTAACTTCAGAAACACTGACACTTCCATTGCACCCAGGATTCCAGGGAAACTTGGAGAGTTTAGCTCTCTCCATGAGGTTAAGCAGACCATATATCCCCATGTTCTTGGCCGTGCTCCTCCATAAGACATTTTTGAATGTCACTGGAACTGTTTTAATGATTTGTATGCGACTGACCTGCAGAGAGTGATGGTTTCCTTACCTGATATTCTTGTGGTTGTTACGAGGCCCTGTGTTGGCAAGGGCTCTGGATATTAAAAAAACCCCAAACATTAAAAAATTGAGTCACCAAGAGCTAGGGCTTGCCTCTCTTGTGCAGTTCTTTCATCCTTTGCTCACGCGTCCACCTCAGTTACTTGAATATCAGCGTGACAAAGGTACTTCCTTAGGGCATGCCTTAGGTTTCTGCAATGTTTCAAATGATTGTCCAACTGCAATGCGTTGAGAAAGCTGCTGAGACGTGAGCCACAAACCCCAGCATCCACCAGAGCATGTCTTAATGGTGCTGATGAGAGTGATTATGTTTTGTGATACCAGTAGTGCTGTTCTGCTGATTTTTAAGTGGATTTTATTGGCATCATTCTTGACGGTATTGGGTGGGGTATTCTAACCTCGAACCAAGTTCTAATTACTGTTCTATATGATGGTGAAACAGGGGCATATAGCTTAGGAGATCTGTATGTGGTGTGATTAACTGTGCAAATGTCACCTTGCATTCTGCTGGTGAGTGATTCTGTAGTGGAACTCAAAGAAGAACTCAACTTGCTGTAGTTGCTAAGGAAGTGTCCACTGGTTTGGGTGCATTCATTTGGTGTTATTCTACGATGTGTTGATGTTTTATTGTTCTATTTAAAAAAAAAAACCAACTAAACCAAATGTATTGGAGCCTTGCTTAGGTGAAAAATCAGGTAGTTCCATCTCAAAAAAAAGAAAACCCAGCTCGCTGGGTTATGAAAAACTGTCTTAAGAGGAAACCTACTCCCGGTGGGGGTTTGTGCAGCTGACAGGAGAGCTCACAGCTGTAGTGCTGTAAACTCGGTGCAAGACAGCCAGTCTGGAGGCACGAGCACGGTATTGTCCTGAGCATTGCGTGTTGGTGTATTCCTGTGAGGCACCCTCAGTTGGAGCTGATGGCTGTCAGCGTTTTGCCAGTTTAGACTCCAGCAGAAGAAAGCATAAATGAGTCTCTGTAAAATGTGAATAGGGCATGTTTGGTAACTGCTGCTTTTCTGTGCCTCAGGATGATGTGTTAAGTTAGCCGGATGTAATGCTGCCCGGAGAGCTTAAGCTCAGGTGGTTCCTCACAGGCATGTGCTGGTGATGCTAATGGATAACCCCACCAGCTCGTGGAACCTTGAACAGCTGCAGAGCTGTGCGCAGTGCAGGACTGTGTGGATTGCTACCATCATTAACCCATTAATATTGCAGGTATTCCCTGTTGAGTGCTTCTGGAAATTGTGCTGAAATGGGAGCACCCAAGTTTACTTTCTCACATCTGTCGTATGCTGCCTCATCTTAAACTGCCAAACATCAATATCTTCTGCGGATCTTAGACTGTTACACAACTATAAAAGTTTAGAGAAGAATGTGCTGCTGTGTAGATTTCAGACTCTAAGCACGTTATGAATAATACTGTCTTTATTTCTACAGTGGGAGCCAAGAAGAAAGGTTTGCTCCCGGGTGGAACAGGGAATATCCTCCTTCCCTTGATAGTCTTGCTCAAGAAAGACACTCTGGCAACTTCTCTGGCAGAGAATCACTTCCTTTTGATATCCAGGCACTCACAGGCCTCCTCAATCCTCAGTTTGCCAACAGAGAGGAACCTTCTTTCAGCTTTGGAGCTAGAGATGGACCACGTAGTGACTTCAGAGGTGGGGAGGGGCACCATGATTTTAGGGGCAGAGATTTCCCACCATCTGACTTCCAGGGCCGAGATGAGTCTCAGATGGATTTCAGAGGTAGGGACCCACCTTCTTCTGAGTACAGGGGCAGGGATATGTACTCTGGAGACTTCCGGGAGAGAGAAGGGCCACCTATGGACTTCAGGGGTGGGGACGTACCTTCGGTGGACTACAGGAACAGGGAGACGTTCCGTATGAACTACAGGGACAGGGAAGCGCATAATATGGATTACAGGGGCAGGGACGAACCTCCGTCAGACTTCAGGGGAAGGGGGTCTTTTGACCTGGACTTCAGAGGCCGAGATGGATCTCATTCGGACTTTAGGGCGAGGGATGTGTCGGAGTTAGACTACAGGGGCAGAGACCATTCCTATTCAGACTTCAGAAATAGGGATGTACCTGATTTGGACTTCAGGGGCGTGGGCACTTCTGATCTGGACTTCAGAAACAGAAATGCACCGTCGTCAGACTTCAGAAATAGGCACAGGTCCCGGTCTGATCAGGATTTTAGGAGCAGAGATGTGGCTCCTCCTATGGACTTTTCAGATAGGGAAATGCCTCCTGTGGATCAAAGCCTTGTAGATTTTAGGCGCAACCAGTCTACTGTACCTGTAGCTGAAAGAGAGAGCTCTGGTTTAAATACCAGCAAGAGAGAGGATTCTGCACTTAATCTAGATAGAACTCCCTTTGGTAGCCAAAAAGGAGAATTCCAACATGCAGAAGCACCAGCCAGAGAAGAGGAATCCCTTGGACTGGGTCTTGAAGACGACACTTCACACAATTTCCAAAATAGCCGTGGACCTGTTCCTACTCTCCAGGACCAAGAGGAGCAACCTCCGACGTTTGCTAACAAACAGCAACAGCAGCAGCTTTCTGGTGGGGAGCAGCAAGGATCCGATTCTGATCTTGGGTTAAAGGGTGAAGGCGGCCTGGATTTCCTTGGAAGGCAAGATACTGACTACCGAAACATTGAGTATCGCGACGTGGATCACCGGCTGCCAGGGCATCAGATGTTTGATTATGAACATGGCAAGTCCTTTTCAGAAGGAAAACCCAGCAAAGATTCTAGGCCCTATAAGAGCCTTCAGGTAGGTGGTTTTGCCGCTTGATGTTTCTGTTAAACGTGTGTTGGCCGGAGAACGGAAGGAACTGGGAAGGAGTCTTCCAGCCGTATCCCATCACAGCAGTTCTGTCCTAATTCCCTGTCCTTTCTGAGATCATCCTCACGCTCCAGGTTGCTTTAACGGGCACCCTTTCTATCTCGGAAATACTTTCTTCTCAAGAGAAATGCAATTGAGCAGTTGGGAATGAACCAAATCTGCTTCTATGTATTTAGCCAGAGAGTCCCCATATTGGAAGTGACCAGACAGAGAGAGGGTAATGCAGGGAGTAGTTATGTAGGACTTTTTTTTGTTGTTTCCTCCTGGATGTTGCTTTTGAGCGCTCTCAGAGAGAAGCTGCTGGCTTGGGGGACCTGTGTAGCACAAACGGTACGGCAGGTCTCGCGCCCGCTGTGCTTTCCTTCAGCGTTAACTCTGAAATGTGAAGGCAGGGGTGACTGCCGAGTCAATGACTGCTATTGCAGTTGAATCTCCCGCTGCTGGAAAGCAGAGAGGGGTGATTTGCTGGCTCTGTTTTCCTGGACCTAGGTCTCATTGTACAGCTCAGTGAGCGTATGAAGCTAGTAACGCAAGTCCTCCAGAGCGCTCTGCATCTTACAGTGCTGCGGGTAAAGGCTTGAGCCAGTCTGCTTATGGGCCTTTGCCTTCGAATTATACCCTGCTTTATTTTGTTACTGTTTTGAGAGCTACCATCTCTCATTTGTAAAATCCATCCTGATTGTGTGTCCTGAAGGACCAGGATTACCGGACCTGTCCCAAATATGTGAAGCCAAGCAAGCTCATTCGGCTAGGAGGAGTGCCTGAAACTGCCACAAAGGATGATGTAAGTGGGATGTTTCTTATCCAAAAACTTCTATCAAGTGTTTCTAAATGTACCGTTTTTAAGTCTGGTTAATGTAGTTCCAGTGGTCTGCCATTTTCCCCAGGGAAAATCCAGATTTAGAAGTCGTTGTGATGTTATCTCTTACCTGATTATTCTGAGGTTTGGGGAGTCTGGAAGTTACTGGTTTTCTGCAGTCGTGTCTGGGGTGTTGGTGGCTAAAAGCCTTGACTCCAGACTCTTTAACATGCCTTACTTCCAGCATTGCTTACGCATACCAAATACTGCTGGTATGTTGTTGTATTTTGGGCCCAGGTGATGCGTAGCCAGCTGAAGCCAGCACGAGAACCCTTTGCACAGTTGAGTTGTGGTGTAAACCTTACTTAAACAAAACCCAAAAATACTTCCCGGAACTCAAACAGTTCTCATATACTTCTGAAGCATAATCAGGAAAAATGTGTGAGTCTGTAACAGAGTTAACCTAGAAAGAAGAGAAGTCTTGGAGAGAGAGAAATGAGTGTTAGCAAGTGCTTCACTTTCTGGGATTGGATTTTGGAGGCTGAAGTGGATCTTGCTTTTCCTGTAGATTCTCAACGCTTTCCGAGGGCCTGATGGGACACCTGTGAAGGACTTGAGACTGAAAGATTACAGCTCAGGTGAGAATGCTTTTCCAGTGCTTCTGCTTTCAAGTTTACAAAAGGGTATTTTTCATCCCGATACTCACTTACGCAGTTTGGTTAAAGTCTTTGGTGCCGTAATTGCAGGTATTTTCCAATGAAAATGCCCACTGAGTTCTGTTGTTTGCCCTTTTGTCTTCAAAAATGATGGCTGTGCTCACTGCTACTCCAGAGGTAGAGCATGTGTCCTCGTGCCTCTAGACAGACGTAGGAGCAGCAGGAAAAAGAGTCAGGCTGTTCTAGTAGCCATCAAGAGTAAAGCAAATACGGCAGGTTAATTCCCCAGAAAATTAAAAAAATTATTATTAAATCCATTTGGATTGTTCTGTATCTTGTTTCTGGGATGGTCTTACTGTGGAACATGTCCTGCACAAATAGTGTCCTTGGGCAACCTGATACATCCTAACATTTCTCCTCCAGTAACATGAAACTGTTACCCTGCTTAGATATGAAGACAGGTTAAAAAAAGAAAAAGTAAGTTGTACAAATACCCAAATCCTGGGTCTGGATGCTCTTCCTCATTCAAAGCATGAAGTTTTGCTGTACTTCTGATCAGTATGTAGAGGATTCGGAAGAACGAAATACTCTTACGAGGCTGCTTTGTGAGAGTTGTACTGGAACAGAGATGTGCGATGGTAGGAAACGCGGGGTGAGTCCTGGGGGTTGCTTTGGGTTATGCTAGTGGGGAATACCTGGAAACCGGAGGGGACCGGCTGAAGTTCCCTCTCCTGCTCTGATGCTGCTGAACAGCTCCTGCTCCAGAGTGAATCTCTGTCATTTTCCAAAGAAAGGGAGAATGGCAGGGCTGGTTTCTGTGTCTTTTTGTTAACCTAGGAAAGCAGAGGCTTCTACCTTCATCAGCGCTTTTCCTTATTAGCAGTATGGGTTGTACGTGAAGCAGCTGGAATTCTTGGTGTCAGTACATTATATAAAAGCCTCCTATGTGTTTAGTAGCTGAGGAGAGAAACTGGGGCAGTTGGGTATTTCTCAAGTATATTTTTGTTTCTGGAAGCTGTCAAAGGAGATTTCATAACCTCCTCGTGAACCTTTGAACTGAAGAACACCCCTGTGTCACGTAATCTGGTCTGGCCCAACCGGCAGGACTTAAGGGGCGCAGTCAGTCTTTTTTGCTTCTCTTCCTCTTTCCTAAGCACAGCGCAGCGTGGCTGTTGTCAGCCACAGCACTGCCTGCAGTCCGGTAATTGCAACATACTCATTTTTTGCCTGCGCTGATGTGATTTGTCCGTTGTTTTGTTCTGAAATACATCCCTTTTCGGTAAGAAATAACTCGACCTGGGAATCCCTTCATACATCTCTTCCCGTGTACGTTATTAGGGCTTGCTGCCCTCATTAGACAACTGTGTCTCCTCCTTCCCGTTCCCCGTTTCGGAGGCTGCTCAAGATGAGACACAGTGCCTGAAGTTATGTGGGAAGCCCGGGTTTCTGCTGGTGGTCGTGTGTCATGGGGAGGGTTACAGTTTTCTCCTGTCTCTCCCAAAACTGCGTTCTCTTTCAGTCTGTCTCCTCAGCTGCGAAGTTGTTGGGGTTTTTTTTTAAGTTTTTCTGGCAATTATGGGGAAGGAAAGAATGAAGTTTAAATTAGCTCATATTTTACGAGCTATTTAAAGCTGTTGTTTAACCCTGTCCAGTCAACATCAGTAGTTTAAGCAATGTAGCATTATTTTAGGTTACGTGGATACTCTAAAGACTTTGTTTGGCACGATGTCCTGAGGCTGCAGATGCAGCTGCTAATTTAAACAGCTTCCTGATCCTTCTTACGCAAGATGGATACGTCTAGGACAATAAAAGCTTCCTGTATTGTGAAAACTCGTTCTTGAAACTGGGTAACTAGAAGCTGTAGTAAATTTAATCCAGCTTTTCCCATTAGCTCATCCTATGGAGAAATGTGTGGAATTGAATTCATACTGACTCCTGAAAAGCTGAGCCTGTGGGAGAGTAGCGGCCAGTCATGGGCTAAACAATGCTTTTAGGATGGGGTGCGTATGTAAATATTCCTAAGAATTAAAAAGCAACCTTGCCGGGTTGCCAATGTCTCCCGGGTACACCTGGGCCTGCTGGCTGCATTGCTCTGTCCCTTCGACGGGGCAATAGCAGCCTGGCTCAGAAGCGTGCGTGCTAAGCCTGCCTGAGTGGGTTGTATATTTTTGAGTGCTGTCCAGAAATGTTAAAAAATAACATTAATCGTGAGTATGCATGTTGAGTGTGCTTGAGAGAAGAATGCCTTCAGCTGGTGGAGAACAATAACAGCTCTAACAAATAACATGCAATTAACTCGAAATAAGTGAGGTTTGGAAAAAGAACGCTTATCATAAAGCTTATCTCAGCAGCTTCAACATGATGATTCCACTGTATGATCTTTCACAAGACTCTTTCTGTTTTGGGAGAAAAATATATGGTTGTTTTTTCTTGGAAAAAGCAGCTCAATTTCTTTTTATAAAGCTCTTTGTTTCTACACGCTGTGTATGTGCTAAAGGAAGTGTATTTTCACTGAAGGTTGGGCTGAGCATGAAACGCTGTTCCTAACATACCTGGTGTGATTTTGGTGCACATTCAAGCTGTTTATTCTTTAGATTATTTTGTCTCTGAAGCCCAGAGACTGAAACAGCGTCTAGATTTTCAACAGGGTAGTGAAAGGAGAGACCTTAAGAAGTGGCATAGTAATTCTCTTTAAATCCAAAAGGCGGATGCTGAAATATCAAAGTCAGATTTTGTAATATTGCCCTCTGCAACATTAACTTGGAATTTTCATCCATTAGATTTTTGAATTGATGCCTGCGTGTACAGACTTAAAGTATCAAATCCATCTGGGGGGGGAAAGAGGGCCTCTTCCAGCGTAATGTGTAAGCCTTGGCAGACGTAACTGTGTTAGATCGTTGGCTTATCTCTCAGCTTGCCTTTTCAAGTGTGTTTGGTCATGTCTGTTGAATTAATCCTTACGAAGTATAGACCCTGAGGTGATGGTGGAATCTCCTCCAAGACCATCAGCTGATGTAGTCTGCAGTCTCTCCCGCTGCCTCACGCGGAGGCAGAGCCTTGGAAGTAGTGCTGCTTCCGTGACGGCCTGTCAGCGGCTCTCTGGGAAGGGCTGGTCAGTAGCAGCTCGTGAGCTCCCCCGGCCCATCTGACTTGTCTCTGCTCACCGGCGTCAAGACGTTCACGTGGTTCTGCGCTATGGGCCTCGCTCCGTGGAGCCCTTGGTGCAGCGTGTAGCAGCACCGGGCTACGTGTGGCGCAGTGTCCATCGTTCTCCTGTTACTGTCTGTGTGCTTGCATTGGTGCTGGCTGCAGGGGGCTTGAAACCGGTACCTTTTGACCTTCAAGGAATCTAACACGCGCACACCTTGTCCTGATTTTGATTTTGATCAAATTTTAAACATCTCTCCTGCCTGAGCCTCATCAAGCTTAATTTCTATCTACCTGACTCATGTCAAACATAAGCAAAGTCTGAGATACCATCCCGAGTGTCTGATGTGCACAGAACTCTTTGAACGCACGTGTATCTTCCAGAGAAGAGAGCACGCAGAGCTCTCTTTATCTTACGATGAGTCGTTAGCCCTTAAACGATGCTGCAGTGATGTCCAAGTGAACAACATGGAGCGTACTCAGAGCCTTCTGTTCAAATTGTTCGCCTGGATGCTGTCTGCGGTAGGACGAGCTTGGAACGTGTGTTTCCCAACCAGGATTCGCGTTAGGGTTGGTACCAGCAGTTGGGAAATGCTGTTTAGGGAAAGCGAGCCTGCGAAATTGCTGGCAGCCCATGAGGCTTTTCTGGCTTGCTCTACCAGCACATCTGGGGAAGTTTCTGCTGAGCTGGGAGAGCCTGATGGAGAAGGGACACGCTGACCAGGATGGAGAGCAGCATGGCAGAGAGGAGCTCTGTGAAGCAGACCTGGAGGGACCAGGTGAGCTGGCTGGCGATCAGAAGGAACACTGAGGACTATCCCAGGCCCTTAAAGTACCCTCTAAATTAGTGCAGCACTTCAGCAATTGGGAGATTTCTGTTATTAACCCTCGTCTGAATACTCGCTTTTGAACTGGGTGGGGATGCAGGAAGGCAGTGCTGCACCCCTGGGAAGCAGAGCAGTGATGGAAAGGGGATGAGGGGAGCCAGGAGGAGCTCTCTGAGCAGCAGTGCTTGGGGCGAAAGAGATGTCCACATGGATACGGGTGGCTGATCCTAAAGCACAGGCATCTTCTGGTGGTTGAGGTACATGCAAGAAATGTAGCGTAACCTAAAAATGTGACTAACCTAGCAGCTACTTAATGGCAGCTGCCTGCTCATTTCTTTTAGCAGGCTATTAGCACCAAGTGTGCTTTATTGCTTGCTTAGTCACTTTCTTGCACAAACATTTATTTCTTGTTTCATTTCTCCATTCCTGGCCTTTATGTGGCACTTGGAACTGCCCCCCTTATCCCTCCCTTTGCTAAACTTAAACTGCCTTGGCCAAGTCCTAGAAGAAACTGGATTGTCTTGCTTGTTCTCGCAAAGCTCTGCCACACTGGTGCCCTGTTAAATATTAATAAGCCCCTTAGATAAACCTTTAAAAGGTGGGGTGTTTTTTCCTCCAAGTGCAGTCTATCTTGTATATCAGAACATTAGTTTCAGGAATATTTGAGGAAGCCTTTGAAATTTGACCTTGTATTCTTTAGTGTTGCATTTTGCTAAAACTCATAATCTGTGGTCCAGAAGTTTACACTTCACAGTGGGAAAAATTGGTACGGATTTTTGAGTGGTGCACCCCTCTATACTAGGGATAAGCACTCCATTATCCATGGTTGGACCACATCCCACGGCAGTGAGATCTCCTCTCTTTTAAAGCAGAGCTCCTGTTGTAGCAGGCACGTCTCTGCTTTTGTCTGGCCAACGTTATCATAGAATCACAGAATGGTTTGGGTTGGAAGGGACCTTAAAGACCATCCAGTTCCAACCCCCTGCCATGGGCAGGGACACCTTCCAC